TCGCACTCCCTATAATATCATGATGAGAGCATTGGATAGGAAGGGAGTAGGAGAACTAGCCTCAGAATGGATCAAATCATTCCTGAATGAGAGACTATTAAAATCTAAATTAGGGGACACGGAACTATGGATAAAACCCCAGATGGGGTGTCCGCAAGGGGGTGTATTATCCCCACTTCTGTGGTGCCTAGTTGCCGACTCGCTGCTGCAAAGGCTGAACTCCGAGGGATTCTACGCTCAGGGATATGCAGATGACATTGCCGTATTGGTGGGTGGCAAATTCCCTGAGACTATATCCAATTTACTTAAAACAGTGATGGGCCTGCTGGGGCCTTGGTGTACAGACAATAGGCTTGGCATCAATCCCCAGAAGGTCAACATATGCATCTTCACTAACAGGAGGAATGTTGTGATTAGAGCACTATCCCTAGACGGCATTGCTGTCGGCATCTGTAGTGAAGTTAAACATCTAGGGGTCACCCTTGATTGTAAGCTAAAATGGCTTAGTCATATTAGGTATATTAGTACAAAGGCAACTCGCTGCCTGTGGGCTTGTAAGGGAGCCATAGGGGAATCCTGGGGCATTAAACCAAAAATGGCACTATGGCTTTATAAAACTGCAATTAGACCCCTGATACTATACGCTGCCATTGTATGGTGGCACAGGGCCACGGCTAGTAAATCCAACTTTTTACTAGAGAAACTACAAAGAATGGCATCTCTAATGACAACTGGTGCCATGAGTACTACTCCCACTGCTGCAATGGAGGTACTTTTGAACCTTGCACCATTGCACTTGGAAATTGAGGCGCAGGCTTTTAGTACTGCTTATAGATTCGTCAAATTGGGAACTAAGGCTAAATCTCTGACACATCAGGGACATGGGTCCCTGTTTGACAGGATTGAAACGGACGAGGTGCTGTCTATGCACTCTGACTTACAACTACAGAGCTATAGGGCAGGGCGCTATAGTACTAAGATTAGTAAGACTAACTCACAATCACCATACAATAGAGTTAACTGCTATACGGACGGATCCCTGACTGAATAAGGCTCAGGGGCGGGTATTTGAAGGATGGATAGACCCAGGGAGGGAATATTCTTATCTTTAGGTAGGCATACCTCAGTCTTTCAGGCTGAGGTCCTAGCCATAAATGTCTGTGCCCAATCTCTTATTAGAGAGGGCCTTAAAGACAGACTTGTATCAATATTTACGGACAGCCAAGCTGCTATCTATGCTCTTGAAGGTTATGCAACCCGATCCAAATTGGTGGACGAATGTAAAGCTAACCTAAACATTCTCTCTACAACCAATAGGTTAAGGGTTGAATGGGTCCCGGGACACTCGGGAATTTTGGGCAATGAGAGGGCAGACCATCTTGCTAGGAAAGGCTCCGGAAGCATCCTCACGGCACCAGAGCCGATTTGTGGCATAAGTCCTAGCTATGCCCGAAGGAGCATTAAAGCAACCGTTGGCCATAAGTTTAGGGCACATTGGAAAAACATCAAGAAACAGACACATTCAAAGCTGTTTCTTGATGAGCCCTGTCCGAAGAGAAGTGAATCACTCCTCAATATGGACAGGAAGAATCTTAGAACAGTTACGGGACTCTATGCAGGACACTGTCGATTGAATAAACATCTCCATAATCTGGGAACAATAGAAACACCAACCTGCAGATTCTGCGGGCTGGAAGATGAAACCGCTTTCCACATAATCTGTGGTTGTGATATCCTGGCTAGGACTCGGTTCCTACATTTTGGAATTGACCGAATCCCAGATCCGAAGCGTTGCGAAACAATAGACCCAATGGGTCTAATTAGGTTTGCAAAGGCCATTGGCCTTGAATGGTTTTGAATGGTTTTGAAGGGAATATGGCCAGCGCACAATAGGCCAACTGAGGCCACGGTGTAATTTTGCTGGGAAAAACAAATTAGTGAATAATTTGATGAATTTTCCCATTGTGAAATCCCAACATTATCCACTTACAATTAGGGTGACAACTTTTGATCTATCCATGGCAGGCAATGAAAATCTCGTAATTTCGTTTTAGTAAATTTTACAATAGAAAATCACAGCTTAATATCAGATAGTCATACAATCCACAATCTTTATATGTTAAATATTCAGATATACTTTCAAACCTCTGTAGGCATATATGAGAATTTCGGTTGAAAGAATGACTAACTTAAATTTCAACATTCTTTATAATTAATTTTATTGATATTTCTAGTGGCAAAATGTATACCTTTATTCACAGTTCTATATTTCAACACTGCAATTAGCAACTCCGGAATCAACTTACTCACTGTCTGTATAGATAACTTTTTCAACTAGAAATATCACTAAAATGACATTACTCAAAAATGTTGAAATTGGAGTTAGTCATTCTGTCAACTGAAAAGCTCAGAAATTGAAGTTGTGTGGTTTATAAAAGCAGATGGAGTGACTAGATTTTTATTGCCTACCGTCGATGTAATAAATAGACTTTTTGTAATAACAATGGTCTTAATGATTTGTTATCTGTAAGCTTTAAGCTTTAGCTCCGTTTAAAATGCACTTCAACAATTTTATAAGAGCCCAGCATTGCCAGAAAATAATTTCTATTCAAAGTAGAGCGGTAAGTTGTGTGTTGCGGGCACCAGATTTTTTTCTATTCTTATAGGACTTAAGGACAAACTTATCGACAAATTCCTGACTTTCCATGTAATTACGTATGTACCTCTATGGTTTAAGCGGGTAATACAGAATAAGGACTATTTTTAAAACAAATTCTGTTTTCTAACTTCATTTGTCTCTTGTGGTGTTGAATTATATTGATTCGTGAAAAAATGAACGCTCATCATAATAATGATGGTAATAATACTTAATTAAAAAACGCCTTCTTTTGCGTATATGTTTTTATCTGATTTTTACAATATTTGTTTGTTAAGGAGTTAATCCAGATAAGTCCCACCAACTTCAGATATTTACTTTTATAAACACTTGAAAATGATGAACCTTTCTTAATATATAAGGCTATTCCAAACCATTTGTACTTGAAACCATTTAATTTGGAATCAGTCTATTTGATGCTTCTATTTCTGTTGGTACAATCCTTTTAATTCTAGTGCAAGTGCTTCATAGTTGTGGAGTTTTCACACATAGTTGAATTTTATCCTTATTATTATACTTATTATATTTTAATTGTCATCTTGTTTGTATTGTAGTATGGGCAAGTTCCTATCTTAGGTATTTCCAAATCTTTCTTTGGAAATAGAATCTCATATCCTGTTTATAGCATTTATGGATGTTTTATTTGATGTATGATCTAATATTAATGATAAAGCTATTTATTTGATCACTACTGCTAGAAGTAGAAAATAGGATTGCATTATTCATAATTATAAATAACAATAATATTAGTAAGCTGTTCAACAAATATTTTTATCCAATGGTAGATGGGAGACATCGGACACAGAACAAACCTTATTTAGAATTTTCTTTGAAAATATGGTTTTATATTGTAAAGTGATTTTTCAGGAAAAAACAAAAGAAAAATCAGTATGAGCTGGTGGTGATGAGATTTGTATGTTGACTGGAAGTATGTTCGGTGTAGACAACATTTTCAAAATAAGGCAAACCATGGAAATTGTTGGAGGGAAGGGGAGTGGACTAGAGCACTAAGTAGTCAGAGAAGTGACATTTTAAAATTTAAAAGATCGTGCTTAAAATGATTTAATAGCAGATGGTGTGCTTTTCCTCATATGCTCTACATATTGTTTCATCATCTTATTTTAGGTTTTCTGCTAGGAAACATTTGCAATTTCCATTTTTTGGTTGTTCTGTACTAATTTATCTCACATAGATAAATGTTCTATCTTTTTTATCATGAGAAGTTTCGATTTATAAAGTTTATTGCAGGAATAAACATAATCAAGGTAATGATTAGAGGTACCTATAATCAGTTTCAAAGGCATGTAGAAAAACTTGTATCAGATATAAAATAAAACTGAGATTAAGCTGTTTTTAGTTACTGGAACAGACCTGGGCAAAATGTATTTTAATTATTATTTTAAAATACAGTGTATTTTAATTACAATGTATTTTAATTTTTTTTATAAGGGAAGCAATTATGAAAGGAGGGCACAGTAGATATAGTTTTAAAACAATCAATGGAGGAAAAAATGATTGACCAACAAACGAATACTAAGTAGTTATTAATTTCGAACCAAACTTTTTGACAGTTAGCTTTTGTATAATACCCATTCCTCAAATAATTGATCGTTCAACAATTTCATTCTAGGAGCATCCAACACGTTAGAGAACTACCTATCAGTTTTATTGCCAAAGATAATTGTATTAAAAATTTAGCACTATTGTCTTGGAAAAGCATTTCTTTTGAAAAATTTCAAGCTGAATTTTCATGGGCAAGTTCTTGTAAGAACCATTTGCGCTACTACATAACGTAAAGGCGCCTTCTCAATTTGATAATCTATTTTTTGTATTTAAAATACAAAATAAATACATTTCAATGAATTTTGTATTTCAAAAGATAATACAGTTGCAAACAATGTATTTTATTTTGTATTTTAAAATACTTTAGTTGAAATGCTGCCTAAGTCTGCTTTAGAATAAATTACTGAAAACTTAAGAAATACTATGTATCTTGGATAAGGAAGAAGAGATTGATAGGTAAAGGAAATATCCCATTGTGGTTTCACCACTTAATCTTTCAGATTAGTAGAAGAAAGGAGATAGAAGAATGTCTGCTGAAAACTGGCTGTTATATCTTGCCTTATGTCCTGGTCCCATAAACACTATATGACTTGTAGACATTTATTATTTAAATAAATAATTAACATGTTTTTTTAATTAAATAATAAATAGTAAACTATTAACTATTTAATTATTTTGTTTTCTTGGTTGTTTGTTATGTTTTTTTTCTTCTGATTTTACAGATGGCCATAAAAATAATTTACCTGAAAAATGTTGGGAAAAAATTCTCAAAAAAAAAGGAATTGTAAAACTATATGGTAAGTAGTTAATTAATAAAGATATAGCAATGTTTTATAATTTTGAAAAAAGTAATTTATTTTAAAGTATTAGTTCTCTTTTTAACAATCAAAATTTAGTATTTGTGTATTTTTATTTTTAGCCATTAACTAAATTATTCAGTTATCATTATATTATGTATAGATAGTTGAAATTTGTATCTGAAAGACCTTGTAATTGAGCAACAAACATACTGAATTGTTTACTATGTTTCTAAAAATTATATTCAAAATTATGTTTCTGTGATTGTCACAGTGTTATATTTATGTAAATGTGTATGTAGTACTATTTTTGTTGTGTTATCAGAATATTTACCTTGTGGAATTGTCAATTGTAACTGAAAGTAGAAAGTGAGAGTGCTTCTTAGCTCATAATATACAGTTGTCTTACCATATTGTACATACAATTAATAAGAATTAAAATAGCAGTTTATGGGTTTGACTTTGGTTTAAAAAAAAAATCTTTATCACTGCTCCGTCAGATAAAGTGTCTCATGTTCAGCGTTTGATAAGGAAGGTCAAACTTAACTTTTTTTTCCCCCTCTAATCCATAAAACTGTCAGATCTCTGCTTTATAGTTGTGGTTGTGGTCCAGTAATGTCTCCTTTTTCCAGTTGACCCACAGCTGATAAAACAGAAAACAAATTTTTTTTATGTGAGAAAGTGTTCTTCACAATTTTGTTACTGTATAAAGTCTTCTTGTTGAAATTTGCTCAAAGGTTGGTAATTGTGACTTAGCTGGCTGCCAAAGACTGCTATCCACCAATGTTTATAACCTGTACACTGATAATTTTGATACTGATAATACCTATCTTCGTATTCATATTTATGCAAATTGAAATAGACAAAAAGAAATTTAATAATAACGAAGCACTTTTATTTTACAACATATATACATGTATATCAAACACTTTTATTTTACACTTTATTTGTTTTGGAAGACAAAATAACTTAATGCTATTTAAAATAGTAAGGAACATGTCCTCTTCTCTGTGGACCCGCAGCCACAAAACTTCACATAAATAGAAATCCAGGTGTTGCCTCGTAGTTCCTTGATGTTTTTTTATTTCTCCACTTAGCTGAGCCCCATAATAGTTCTATGTGTTGAGTATGGCCCCATTTGAAGGATTAACAAAGTTATACTGGTGATTCATCTAAAAATGGTTTTTGTTTGCTTTATTCAGTTGTTGGGTGTTGTACCCTTTGCTACAATCAGAATTTATAGTGGTTCTCTCTTCTATATTATTTTTAATACCTTCTAATAGAGTTGTTGCTTTTCTGTCTTTTATTTTTACTATGAAACACTCGTCTGTTTCTCGACAAACTCCGCCAAACACCCATTGTTCAGGAAGCACTCTCCCTACATGATTTTTTCTTTTAGAAAAAAGACTTTAGACTTTTCCAGGCTCTCCATTTTTTTAGTTGATCTGTATAACATGTTACGGGTACAAACCTCTCTCAATAATCTGTTTCACTCCACCAATCTTTTTTCGGATAGCTTCAGCTGCTCTTTGCCCCACTGAATTCTTTAATTATGAGACCAGCCATAAATATATTTTATAGCTGTTAAAAGGGTAATTTTTGACCCCTCTAACTGCATTTCTTTTCTTATAGAAACGATTTTCCTGCAACTTATATGGAAACATCTCCATTTGGTCTTGTCAAATCCATTTCATGACCTTCTTCACCCAATTTCACCTTTGGAATTATCCCGAAACTTCTGAAAGTATTTGACAGCTTCTTCTTCTAAAGGCGCCAATTACCTAACTGTTATATCCATTTTAAACAGAAAATAAAAAAAAAAACTGAAAACAATTGAATAACGGACAAGTAACGGAAAGATAACAAGAGGTTACACGATAAGAAGAGAGGTTCCGTGGAGACCGGCTAAGTCACATGTACCCAAAAGTTTCATATATTTAATTCTATGAGAACTCATCAATTTTATTTTTTCCATTTAAAACAGATTGGCAAATTGATTGTCTTCAACTTCAAGCTGTTAAAGAAAAAAAGAATTTAATTTACAGTTTACCAACTGGAGGTGGAAAAACGCTGATAGCTGAGATTCTAATTATAAAAGAGCTTTTAGTCTACAATAAAAATGCCATTTTTATTTTACCTTTTAGAGCAATTGTTCAAGAAAAGGTAATTATTTCTAAATATATGTATATATATGCAGTAGTTATTGTACTATGCCACGGCATAGGGAAATATGTAATATTGCTTAATGTTATCATATATATAACATTATCATATATATAATGTTATATATATGTGTGTGTGTGTGTGTGTGTGTGTGTGTGTGTGTGTGTGTGTGTTGTATACTTTTAAAAAGTTAGAACTTAACTTAAAATTTTTTAATATTAATTTTGTTTATTTTATTATTCTTTTTATAAATATTTGAGACTCTAAAGCCCGCAATTATATTATTCAAAAGAGACTTGTCCTAGAATAAATAAAGCATATTATTATTAAAAAACTGTTAACTCTATACCACTATCTCATATGATTTTCAACTCAGTTTTATTTTATTTATTTGCTTCTTATTTTTTTTTTTCAGTTTATAAACCAATAATTGAGGTAGTTATAATTTAAATTGTTAATAGGATTTTCTCCAAATTTGACCTGTGAGAAAGTCAAGATAATAAGTTGGTTATATAAGCTACAGGGTAGTACTAGGCAACTAATCCTTATAACTCTCTCTGAGGAGGCAACACGCTTTCAAATGTGAACCACCAAATCTGCTCTACCTAATCGATAGGCACTGTTTATTGTCTTATTAACTAATTAATTTTAAACTGTTAATTATGAAATCCGTTGAGGATAAATATGTATAAATGAGATGCCGAATAGCAAAAAATTTGTATATATATATATATATATATATATATATATATATATATATATGTTATTCTGGACTTTTTAGAACAGAATAACCTCCTAAATGCCAACCAGTCCGGTTGCCGACCCGGCTACTCCACTCAATCTGCCCTCATCAAAATTTCCCAAGACATTAATACAGCCATGGACCAGCAGAAACTCACCATCCTAATTCTCCTTGACTTCTCCAAAGCCTTGGGCTCAGTAGACCACAAAATTCTCCTAACCAAGCTTAAAAATATCTCCTTTTCAACTAGTACTCTTAATTGGTTTCAATCCTTCCTTACTGGCCGCTCCCAATATGTTGTAGTCCCCAATAACCTCCGATCAGAATCTTTACCCTTGTCCAGAGGTGTCCCACAAGGCTCCTCCTTATCTACCACCCTTTTTTCCTACTACATCAATGACCTTCCATCCTCTATCCTACACTGTCAATACCATCTGTATGCTGACGACATCCAGATTTACCTCTCCTTCAATCCGACCTAATCCTCTGATGCCATCCAAAAATTACAGGAAGATATAAACGGATTTTGTTCCTGGGCAAACCACAATAGAATTACTCTAAACTCCGAGAAGACGAAAGCCATCCTGAACAGAACTCCCTCACTCCTCAAATCCTTACTGACACTCCCCAATCTTTTCCTGAATAACTCACCTATCTCATTCCACACTATTGTAAAAAACCTTGGTGTTACCTTTGATGAAACCCTCTCCTGGAAACCACACATCTCCCAAATTTCCCATTGTACTATCTCTAGCCTGAAACAGTTTAACCATCTCCGCTATCTCCTTCCATATAAATCTCGACAACTCCTGGTTTCCTCCCTTGTGTTCCCCCACTTCGACTATGGCTGTCTGGTGTACGGCGGACTCTTGGGAGAATTCGAAGCCAAACTTAAACGCCTATTGAACTGCGCAATACGTTTTGTATTTGGAATCTCAAGATATACGCATATAACCCAGTATTACACTAAGTTGAAGTGGCTCTATCCATCCAACCGCCATCTCTACTTCCTTGCGACCTTTCTATACCAAGCCATCAGAACTCAGCGACCTTCCTATATTTTTCACAGCCAACAATTCAAATATTCCATTCAATCCCGTCCCACTAGATCCCTTACTTCTGACCTCTACCCACCTCTTCACTGAACTGCTGCGTTTGACAAATCCTTTATAATTCAAGCCGTCTCCATCTGTAATACCATCCCTCCCGATATCTGACATGCGCAATCAGTTTCCTCATTTAAATATCTCCTTTTTAAGCACCTACTTCTTTCCCAACCCGACTGATCAAGAAAAGTAGATAAGAGAGCTTTTTAAGTTCTCCCTGAAATGATTTTGTTTACTTGTATTATATTATTGTCATATGTTTCTATTATATATATATCTGTATATATTTAGTGTTTTTGTTTTAATTTTCTTCCAATATTTTAATTTTAATGAGAATTAATTAATTTAATTTTATGGCCACACAGGCATTTTCTCTGTATTTATAATTTGTCCTAAAGGGACAACAGTCCCAGGATAATAAAAATCTATTTTCATTTCATTTCATATATTGAAAATAATAAGAAATGAAAGAATAAATTAATAATATTTTTCCTAATACAAAAACAAACTAATGAGAGAAATAAAATATTACTTCGAGCATTAAACATAAAAAGAAAACCTTAGAATTAGAAATTTACTATGGATTTCTATGAGATTTAATTAGCAATTACTATTTATTAAAAATGAATTTAATTTAAATGTTCAATTAAATGATTTGAGATGGCACAGGCAAATTTATATAAATTTAAATTAATAATTTTATATATTAAAAAGAGAAAAAAAATATGTATATAGTGAAACCCGGCATTGAACTGGGTACCTTCACAATCATAGTACAGAACACTAACCACTAGAATGTAGACAGTTAGATAATGGATCATGAATTAGTGTTCAAGTTAGCCTCAATAGGAGGTTTTAAAATGTAAGAAATAATGTTTTTTATTCCTAGTTATTGAAACTGGAGACCCGTAGGGTCATCAAATGTTCATTTAACTGAACGACTTATAATATCATTTTAAATTCTAGATAAACCTCATATGAACATACAACTTCGGTCAGTCGGTTGAAAGCCATTGATTACTTTACGAACGTTTAAATAAAATGACAAAATTTGACGTTTCATTTAATGGACAAATTGACAGCTGAAATTTTGATATGATGTAAAGAATGTGTCCTTAAAAGAGAATTCACATTGACTGACGATGTACACTGTTGTAATTCGAAAACTGAAGTCGTTAAAGTCATGAATTGGTCCAGTCAAATGGAATTCGTATGTAGGAAAAATTCAAATAGTCAGTATCTCTTTGGTCTTTTATTTTTTTGGGGATGCTGAATTTGAATTGGAAGTTCCAAAACAAAATTTTCCATTGCACTCCGAGATATATACAAAAAACAGCAAAATTTCAACAATTTTTTGGCCATGACTGAAACTATGCATTTTATCAAAATTATTACTCTATACGTGGGGTAGCTCAGTGGTAGGGTACTGAGCTTCCAATGCTAAAGGTCCCAGCTTCGAACCCGGGCTCATTTCAGAAAATTTATTTATCTGTTTCATTAGCCGTGGTGCGACCCTGGGTCGGTAGACTTTTTAAAATTTGACTCATTTGAAATGTGAATTGTGAAATGATTTGACATTAAATGTGCTCAAATATGTCATATTTTGGAATTCCATTTCAACGGTTTGGATTTATTCTAAAATATTCAGCATGACAATGTAATTAAACATAAATTGCGTAAGACAACCCAGGAATGTGCGTTCCTGCTCTCCCTGATAGGAACCATCGATTAAATGTATGGTAGCTTTACATTGGGAGGAATAAATATTGTATCGGATCCTAATCTATATATGAAGTGCTGTATAATAAAATCTTTAGAATGCAGAATAGATGAAGGGGACTATCAATGTGGCTTTGGGTCATGTAGAAGTAGGTTAGATAAAATATTTGCTAATAAGGCTAAAAAAAAAACAGAAATAAAAAGAGCCTTTAGAGATCATAGTAGGAAACGGCTCTAAGGTTAATCTTGTTGTAATTGTTGCAAAAATTAAATTTTTGAAAATACCAACATTGGAAAACAGAAGATCCTTGGACAGCACCAAAATTCTTGTTACAATAAGGGTCCCATATTTTATTTATTATTTTTTTCATGTTGTAACATCTCTTTAGATGAATAGAGTTCAGGGGATTTTAAAATGATTGATACACTTTTTGTCCATTTTATATATTTGTCCTAAAATTATTTTTAGTTAGTTCTCTTTGAAATTTCAGGTAACTTCATTGGCTTCACTTGGACTTGATCTTGGGTTTTTGGTTGAAGAGTATGCTGGAAATAAAGGAATATATCCTCCTACAAAACGTCGTAGAAAGAAGTCTATTTTTGTTTGCACAATTGAAAAGGCCTTAGGTCTTATAAATAGTTTAATTGAAGAAAAAAGGATTTTGGAAATAGGTTTAGTTGTGATTGATGAACTACATTTCATTGGGGAGAACAAAAGAGGAGCTTTATTAGAAAACATAATATTGAAGCTACTTTTTTTCCCTGGTTCGTATTTAAAATATGTTATGAAGGTTATATTACCTTTTTTGTATTAAAAAAATAATATATATTTTCCAGTAGTTCAAAAGTATATATGTTATAGCAAAGTAAATTGAGCGTAGATAGCATACTTAGTCAGTATGCATTTCATTCATATAATGCCGGTTATTTCAGGCAAAGTATGAAATGAAAGTCTTTTGAATTAATAATCATGTATAATGCTTAGCCCTTTTATAGAATGGCTATTGTTCGTCAGAAAAAGTAAGAAATGATAATGGTTTGAGTACAAAGTTATTTATTCTGTGACACAAGAACTCAGAATGTTATTTTTAAGACTTAAATACTGGATGCTACTTGATAGGATGGGATTGTGAACATATCTATCTGTATAAAACAACAATAATAAATTTAAACCACTTGTGTACATTGTCAAATTAAGGATGATAAATATTCAGGGTGCAGACTTTTTAAATTTTTTTATTTATGCCAACGTTTCAACCCAAACATGTGGGTCATCTTCAGGGCGTGTTTTGAGCACTGAGGGAGTTCAAGTACTGGATGCTATTTACCAGTGTCAAATTAACATATAAATCCTGTACCACTACAATCAATGAAAGGTCTCTTGGGTTCAGTAAGGGAGTACTATTTCTTGGTCAACGGTTGTGCAAAGAGTCGGGATTTGATCAAGATTTGATCAAGAGCACGGTCAACCGCCAGTTTTGTCCCTTAACCAATTATTTAATGAAGGGTGCTCACTTTATAGAGACTGTGTGTGCCACAGGAGGGCCCTTTGACCCCAGAGTCAATCCTCAGCAGACGAAACAGAATAAATAACTTATCTACAATGGCTTAGGCAACTTGGGACCTTGGGCATTGCAAGCCAGAACTCTACCACTGAGCTACCCGACTCAAATACATCATAAAAACCTTAAAAAAATTATCTTCAAATGATCTCTTCAATGATCTTTTGTCTTAAAGCCCTTCTTCTTCTTCTTTCTCTATCTTCTTGTGGCTTTCAGCTTGGAGGTGCCTCAATCCATGAATCCCAAGCATTTTGGTCCTGAGTTAGAGCCCTCATACTCCTTATCTGCATACCTCTTTTCTGCTCGATCTGAGAGATGTATTCCATCCTTGACAATCTCAGTATTCCTCTTGGGCTCTGAGAATGATGTCATCTGCAAAGACCATTACTTCCATCAAAATCGTCCCCATGTTCCACTTTCCTGAAACTGTTTGCGTTGTTCTTCATTTACAAATCTTTAAAATTTTGTCCATATATATAATGAACATTAGGGGGCTAAAACTGTCCCCTTACTTTACACCTTTGCTCATGGCAAAAAAGTCAGATTCTATTCCATTTATTTTAACTGTACCATTTGAGTCCTGGTACGTGGACCTTATAGCATCAATCAATCCTCGTGGGATATTTTTGTCCATCAGAGCTTTCCATAGTTCTTGTCTAGTTACGGAATTGAATGCAGCCTTTATGTCCAAGAATGTGAGAAATACATATATAACTGTTCCGTTCCCAAGCCTTATCAATTATTGTTCTTAAGAATGTATTTGGTCTTCAATTTGACCTGTGAAGCCTGAAAGCAGTTTGCTCCACCATTGCTCTAAGTTTCTTCTCCACTATTAAAGTATATATCTTATCCAAACAAATAGGTCTGTAATTTCCGTATTCTCTTGTATTTCCTTTCTTATGTACTGAAACAATTACATTATAGTTCCAATCCTCTGAAATCACTTTTTCAGTCAATAATTTCTGAAAAATGCACTGTAGGGCCTTCATCAGTCCAGGTCCCCTATATTTAATAAATCCTGACGTATTTTTCCGAGTCCTGGACACTTACTTCGAAACACAGGAGCCAGATCCAGGCTCTAGAGATGCAATACCTGCGAAAGGTGGAGGAAAAGACTAGACGAGACAGAATTCGCAATACAACAATCCGGGCCAACCTCGACGCCAAAGGGGTCGAAACCATAATAGAAGAACATACGTTGAGATGGTTTGGGCACCTTCTCCATATGGATCGGAACAGAGTTGCAAGGAAGATTCGCGTGCAGGGTAGGAGACCGAGAGGAAGACCCAGAATCTCCTGGGAAGAAGGCGTGCGAGATACATTCCAGAAGCGAGGTTTAAAATGGAACAGGAGACAAGAGTTGGTACTGGAAAGGTCAACCTGGTCCAAGCTCTACAAGAAGCAAATTCACACTGCATAAGAGGTAAAGAGGAATAGGATTATAACGATGAAATTCTCGTGGAGAAGTTTCACATATATTAAATGTATTATCTACATCATTTCTTGAGAAAACGTCTGCATAGTGGCGTTTCCATTTATCCAGAATTTGTGTATCCCTGGTCTGCCTCTTTCATCCTTTATATTTCTTATGGACTTACTTTTCTTTGTTTTTAGTGCTTTTTTTTTCCAGAAAACCTAAACATTTTCATGGAAGTTGTTCTGTAGTCTCCTCTTAGCTCTTTCTTTTTGCCACTCTAACAACTAATTTCTCCTTATTTCTTCTGTGCACATTAAGTTACCAATTTACTTTTTCTTCTTCTTCTTCTATGTAGCTTTACAGTCCGGGGTGGACCTTGGCTTCCTGGATTATAGCATGCCACCAGTTTCTCACACCCAGTGTTTTAAGGTCGCTCTCAACATCCTTTAGCCATCATTTCCTTGGCCTTCCTTTTCTTCTTGTGCCATACATTGTAGAAAACAATGCCCTATTGTTTATACATCCTGCTGCTGTCAGTTCTAGTCACGTGCCCTAACCATTCTATGCGCCTAGTTTTAACAAAATGAACTATCTTGCTGCTATTATATAGTTTATATAACTGAATTTTTTCGATACCTCCACCTCTTCACAAACAGCTCTATAAATTCTTCTCAATATTTTTCTTTCTAAAATATTCTGCATACTAATTGTGCTTGCACAAAGGGTCCATGTCTCAAATTCCTGATAATTAGGAATTTCAGCAATTTCAGGGTCTTTCAGCTTATCAATCTCTCATCTTTTCCTACAGTGCCATTGAGCAGTTTTTATCACTGCAAGACATCTGAGCTTCAATTTAACCATATAATGATCTGCGTCACAGTTTGGTCCACTCGCTGCTCTGACATCAATAATTATGATTATAATTGAAATTGCATGCCTTTTCTGAACCAGTACTTGATCAATTTGTGTTATTGCTCCGTTTGGGGATTTCCATGTTCCTAAATGTATATGTCTATGTTGGAAAGTAGTGCTCCTTATGACCATATCATTAGATTCCGCAAATTGACAGAGAAGCTTTCCATTATCATTTGTCTCACTGCAAATCGTAAATCGACCAGATACTGCACTAACAAACTTTCTTTCCCTATCTTTTCAATTCCTAATTTACTGGAGTTATATATATTGTCAGGTTACGTTTCCGTTGAAAAGTAAAAAAACAGTTTCTGAATCAAATTATTTTTATTTCACACAATACTTACTTCAAATTATTTCTCAGGTTGGGTTGAGACAATAAACAATAAACACACATTCCTCAGTTATATAATATAAAAGCATACATTAATTGTGTATAACATTAATGGATTTCCATTCGGTTATGTCGGGGTTTACTCTTGGCGCACTTTCTAATTGTCACTATTTATTTTGCACTCACCCTGTTCTACAGTGAATCTTCCTTCGATTGTTGTTCTTTCTACAAATGTCTTCTTAAAGATCGAGCTCATCGCAGAAGAAGGTGTGATTGTAAATTACAAAAGTTAATGTTATTCTGAGTAAAAAGAACCTTGTCTGCCATTCCAGAGCCGCTTCTTCAAAAAATGGCGGCTGATTTAAAGAATATTAGGCTAGTAATTTGAGGATCGAAAGGGGAAATCCATTGCTAAATATGTGAGAAAAGTTTTTATTTTTTTAACTTGTATATATGGGTTTAAACATTTAAAAAATAAAATTGCTAACGCAGGCCACGAATGGAAAACTTTTTGCAGCCAAAAAGTTAGATTTTTTTGGTTTTTCACCTATAACTCCTAAACGATGCATCAAAGTGAAAAATGTACCCATTAATAAATTAAAGAACGTTAAATTGTGCATCAAACGAGAACATAAACTTTATAATTTGGTTACATGGTAAGGTATAAAACGAGTTAACCAATGATGATTTTCACCGAATTTGTCAATAACTGAGACAAATTACTATAAATGGCCCTGAAACTTGGAAATCAGTTTCTTTAGAGGAAAAATCCATAAAATCAAAGTTGTAAAGAATCAATTTTCTGTCCACTGAGTACTGACATTTTTATTGTAGGCCAATTATATATTTCAAATCGGGATTCGTTATTTCTTTATGAAATTCGCTATCTTTCAACACATTGTTAATCAAAATCTTTTGTTGCTGAGAAGTGGAAAAGATGCTTATACAACATGAAACAGACTCTAAAGCAGACCAGACCGAAATTCAATGCAAAGATCCCAGGCATAACAAGTAAAAGTGACCTAGATACTCTGGAAGCCAAAGCCTGCAATCTAGAGCACATTAACTTGGCCTATCCTAAAAATAAATGGAATAGGATATATACAAATGGGTCTGCTAAAAATTCCATTTCAAACGGAGGAGGAGGCATCCATATTAAATTCCTCTATTGACATGTTCTCCAAAATGCTTTTCCCACTGTCCTTCTCTCAACGAACTATGAAGCCGAACGAGCATGACTCCATTTTGACTGCAGCCAATATCCTAAAGAATCTTAAGAGGTGCCCACTCTCATTCATTGTATTCCTGACAGATACAGCATCCATTCTTGAATGCCTCAAAAATAAATGGAAGAGTATTCTAACTACGTACATTAGCTGAGGAACTGGAAGATCTAAAAATGCAGTACCAAGAGATGGTTCTACATTGGATTCCAGGGCTAATTCTACACTTGTGGGCTAACGGAGACTAATATTGCAGACTGATTTGCTAAAGAAGGAACATTGCCTACCCCCACCCCCCAAAATTAGCAGCATCCCTAGATTTGAGGAGTGTAAAACTATTAATAAAACAGCCATAAGCCAGACATGGAAAGTAAGTCATCCAAATCATTATCCCCATGCCGATTATTTTAAGCTTACCAGAAGAGAACAAGTTGTCATTTTTTGCCTCGGAAATGGGCATATCCGCCTTCAAGATAGGCGGCTTCTTCAGGAAATTCAAGATAGGACCCAATCTTTTAAGTGAATAATAATAATAAGGAAGACAGAAATGAGGGGTAAGGAGCCTCAGAGATACATAAATAAAAATACAGAGTAATGGAACAGTCTTGGTTAAAAAAAAATAATATATATATATATACACATATACATATAAGTTGCTTTCCAATTTTGATCAGTTGATAATAAAAGAAATAAAAAAAATAGATAAACAAAAATTGGAGTACAAATAATGAAGAACGAACTAATAATTTATGTACATATTTTCAGTAGTATCTATTTACGATTTTATGGGGACTGGATGGATAAGAAATGATTGAACAGGCGGGATTTAAAGGTAGGAAGGGTATTAGATTGACGGATATGGGAAGGGATGGAGTTCCATAGAGATGAGGATCGGATAATGAACGATTTGTCGAAAGCAGCGGTTCGGTGGGCCCTTATGTATAAATCAGAAGAGCGGGAACGAACAGAGGATTTGAATTGAAGGAGCTCGGAGATGTATGAGGGACGGTGGGATTGGATGACTTGAAAGAGGAAGGATGCCAGGAAATACTTACGACGGTAGGAAGGATAAAGCCACTTTAACTCCGCGTAAAAATGGGAAACCGAGGCGTCCCTTGGGATCCCGAAGTTGAATCGTACAAAGCAATTTATCAAACGTTTTAGTTTCGCCTCGAGATCCCCAGAGAGGCGCCCATATACCGTACAGCAATAGTCAAAGTGGGGAAAAATTAAGGAAGTGACTAGGAGCCTACGGGTTTCAAAAGGAAATAGGTGACGGGAATAATTAAGACGTTTTAGGATGGAAATGGTACGGCGGGAAATATTGGATATATGATTTTTCCAAGAAAGCGTTTGATCAATGGTTATTCCAAGATTTTTGATGGTGGGGTGAAATTTTATGGGGTTATTATGTAGGAACAGAGTTGGAATAGTACCCATATATTGGAATAGTAGTTTTAAGGATGTGATTTGGAGCCTATTAAGATTGCCTTTGTCTTATCCACATTCAACTTCAACTTGTTTGTTCTTGCCCAGTCACAAATTCCATCTAAGTCTTGAAGTTTTTCTGTGGCAGATAATAGGTCGGAGGGCGGAAAATAAAGGTATATTTGGAAATCATCTGCATAGATGTGGCATTGGGAGTGACGGATCAGGAGTGGAAGGTCATTGATGTAGATAGCAAACAGAGTAGGAGAGAGAGAGGAACCCTGAGGGACAACACAGGAGAGGGGAAGTGTCTTTGAAGGAGGTTGATCAGGGACTACTACATACTGGGATTGATTGGGAAGGAAGGATTTGAACCAACGCAGGACACTGTTGGATAGAGGAAGATTTTGCAATTTGGTAAGAAGGATATTATGGTCAACTGTATCAAACGCTTTGGAAAAATCTAGAAGGATGAGGATAGTAAGGTTTTGGTGTTCAATGGAGTTTTGTAGGTCATGGGTTATTTTAAGGAGAGCAGATTGCGTTGAATAGCCGGGTCGGAAGCCAGATTGGAATGGGTTGATAAAGGAACGTTCCTCTAGGAAGTTTGAGAGCTGATTTTGGACAAGGCGTTCTAGCAGCTTTGAGAGGTTGGATAGGAGAGAAATAGGACGGAAGTCGTGCAGTGAGGTAGGATTGGCAATTTTATTCAAAGGTCGGACTAGGGCGGTTTTTTTTCCAGGAGGATGGGAATGTGGAGTTCTGCAGTGAAAAATTGTAGATATGATAAAGAACAGGAATAAGGTCAGGAAGGCTGGATTTTATTAGCTTTACAGGAATATTGTCGGGACCATAATCATTGGTGTGGGATTTTAGGATGGTGGAAAGTAATTCATCATAGGACACGTGGGAGGAAAAGAAGTCTTCAGGATTGAATTTGTGATGTTTAATATCGAAAGTATGAGAGGAAGAGTGAGTAAAGGATAAGAAATGGTTATTGAGATCATCTGGAGAAAGATAGAAGGAACTACGATTAATGGACTCTGGTAGGGATAGGTTGCGGAGTATTTTCCATTTAGATTTGGAGTCGGAGCATTGGACAGGGCATTATGGAAGTAGGTGGTTTTAGCAAGATAGACTGCGGATTGGGTTCCATTGGGAAGCGCCTTGAAAGACGCATAATCCACAGCTAGACGGGTTCAACAGTATTTGCGCCTTGCTGCATCTCTTCTCCTCATCATTTCCTTTATCTCACGGGTCAGCCAAGGTGCAGTGGGACGGCGTAAGGTTTTGGTTTTCAAAGGAGCGTGGATTTCTAATGTGGATTGTAGGTTTGAGGTCAGGGTGGATACCATAGGATCAATGGAGTTGTAGGAATATATGGTGTCCCATTGGAGTGAATTAAGGTCTGGTTGAAGGGATTCATAGGAAAGAAGGTTTAAATTGCGGTATGAAACTATTTTGGGAGTGAAGGATTTTACTGGTAGGTCGTATGTAATTCGGATCAGGTCATGTGATGAAAGAAATGGAACTGGGTGTTGAGAAGATGAAAGGATTTTGATGGGAGAGTCAGAGATATAAAGATCTAACCAAGTATCGGAAAATTGCGTGTGGTGGGTAGGAGAATAAGGAACAAGATGAAGATTAAGGGAAAACAACAGGTTGGTAAGGAAATATTTTTCGGGAGATTGTGAAAGCATGTTCACGTTAAAATCACCGGTAATAATAATATTGGTGTAGTTGGAGACCAGGTTAATGAGGGAAGATTCAAAGAGGTTGTCAAATGGAACATGAGGAGGGCGGTAAACTACGGCATACAACAGAGGAGAGGAAAGAGAGGAGATTTCAACTAACATGTATTCTATGTGAGGAAAATCATGATAAGGAGACTGTAGAAGAATTTTGGCCTGGATATATAATCCAGACTGTCATGGATATATAATCCGACACCACCTGCCGTGCGATGCGATCTATCGTGACGTAGGAACGAGTAATCTGGTAAGGAAATCTGGGAGGATGGGATAAAAGGTTTTAGCCAGGTTTCAGATACTGCTATTATGTGGTAAAAATTGTCAAGGAAGTATTGAATGTGTCCAAAACAAACAAACCACAAACATGTTCTGCAGAACTGTCAGCATTTGGAGGATATATTGAGGAAGATATGGCCCCAACCTACAGACCTTGGAACCAAGCTGTTCGGAAGCCTGGAGGACCTAAGGAGAACCACTAATTGTATTTTTTTACTTCATGACATAGCCACATAGATGGAAGAACGAAGAAGAAGACAGCGTTCTTGCACGCCAAATGATCTCCAAGATATTGATAAATTACCAGAAAAGCCTAGTGTGCATGCACATTCCCTCTTCCCTGTCCTTAACCTTCACTTGGGAACTCTGGTAACATGTATTTTCCTAACTCCTAGAGTCTCATAAACAGAATAGAATCCGTGGTGCCTTATTTTTTCATAGTCAATTCCTTTCAGCTCCTATTTTAATACAAACTAATGAATCGCTTTCTGCCATTCCTGTAATCAATCAGAATTTCGTACCTGCTGTTCGATTTTAGAGGTTTTGTTTGAAAAAAAAATGTACCGAATTAGTATCCATTGCTGGTTATGAAAGAACCCACTTATTAGATTTATTAAAAATAGAGCTATTTGATAGGCCTTATCTTAATTATATATTTTGTCTATGCATTTTATGGATTAGAATATGGTACTCTTCACGTTTTGTTTTCAATGATGTTTTGATGATGATGTTTATGAACATATCATTTCAGAAACCTAATTTTGTGCTAGTGCATGTGTATATCACTTAATGTTTAATTGTAGAAACAAAATTTGAAGACTGATTAGAAGTTAATGTTTTTGTTATTAATGATATTTGGCTTTTAATAATTAGTTATTGGGCAATAATTAATTATACATAAAAGTTGAAAGGTATAAATATAGATTGTTTCTTTGCTCATCTTACTTAGGATTAAATTTCATGTTTTGTTTTATGTTTAGATTCTATTCAAATATTGAGTATGAGTGCTACCATTGGAAACCTTGAAGAGATTGCCTGCTTTTTAAATGCTGAAACCTATCAGAAAGATTTTCGGGCTACAGAACTGTCTGAGCATATTAAAGTTAAGGAAGAGTTGTTTATTGTCAACCATAAAGAGTATCCTTCTCTATGTTTAAAAAAAATGTATTCTTATAATGTAGGTAAGTTGTCCTAGAGTTTTGTGCTCTAATTCTGGTTATATTAGGTATTAATAGTATATCTTAATTTTTAGTCATCCAAGAATAATATTGATGTGGACGGTATTGGAAATTTGGTTGATGAAGTGGTTCCACAGAAGTCATGTTTAGTTTTTTGTCAAACTAAATCAAATTGTGAAAATGTGTCAATTATGATTTGTGAAACATTATCTAGGTATTTGAAAATTTCATTATCTTTGGTATAATTTATTTTACTTCATATGTTGTTCTTTATCTGTTATATTGTGGAAACCCGAATTAATTTTATAGTGTGATATGTAATTATTCTTTAAAACATATGAAAGTAGGTTTTTGGGTAGCTTACAAACTTACAGAACCTGCTCAGTTAACCATACTTAAGAGATATTTTTGGAGAAATTAATAAATTGTCAAAATAACACTTTAGATGACAACATGAATATAAATGCATATCGTGCAATCGACTTTTTGTTTCTAAAGAAAAATATTTAAAAATTATGATTTTTTGTCATCTAACGTGATAATGAAACTGTGATCTCTATTACATTTAAAATAAAGAAACCTGCTAATTGCTTGAATTATTTTCATTAAAACGTAAATATGGGATTAGGAACATTTAGTTGGAATACTTATAAATATTTTTCAATGCATATGGTAGAGATCTTGGTAAGAAACACAGTTTCATCATCATTTTAGATAATTAATAATTGAAAAATCGTTAGTTTTAACATTTTTTTAGAAATAAAGTGTTGGTATGCATTTATCTGTATTATAATTCGCCATAGCTCATCGGAAAAAAATAAATCAAAGCTTTGCAACAATTTATTGTAGTAATTTTTGCTGAAAACACAAGTACATTTAGGTGACAGGATATAAAATCACATAATTTCTTTAAATATCTTGTGATGAATCTCAACTTTTTCGTTAATATGATAAGCCATGATAATAAATAATAGGCCAATGTTTAATCCTAAACCTCAATTGAATTAATATGGACCTTAAATTTATTAAAAAAGAAGGTTTTTCTAAAAGTTAGATATCTATAGCGTAGTTGGAGTAATAAAAACAAATCTCAAATAATTGATGTTTTTTGTTTTTTTTTAAACAGAGCTTAGTTGATCCCCTCAAAAGTCCTCTTTCATGGTTTCAGCAATGACATACTCTACTTTCCTTTGAAGTAAATTTTGTTCAATTTACTGTGAAGCAATTGTTAATTACTTAAATTAAGTATTTTTATAGTGATCTCTTCTATTCAACAAACTAAAAAAAATAAAAAAATTTAAATCTCCTACTTTTTTTGTGAAAAATCGGATTGTTTATATAAATTTATAAGGTTATACAAATGTTTATATAAACTTTTTTGTAGCTCTTGAGGTTTGCTATCACACCTTTAAATAATTTTCTCTACTTACCTGAATCCATATACAACAAAAATGCCAACATGGGCTACCTTGGGAAAACATTTGGCAGCCAAAAAACCTTGATTTCTTAGGAACAGGTTTTGATTTTTTGCCTAAAACTTCTGAATGATGCCTACACGTGAAAGGCTTCTGTTTCAGTATTAACATTAAATTCTATGTCGAATGAGAACTACAACTTAATAATTCTAGTAAGTGGTATGTTCTAAAACTATGGTCAACAGATTTTTTCCAACTTAGTTAAAAACTTATATGCATTACTATTCAAGTCTTAATTGGATCTGCAACTTGGAAATGAGTTCTCTAAGAGAAAAAACTCATAGAATAAATGTTGCAGAGCATTAAATTCTGTTTCTGCTGAATACGAACATTTTTAAATTTTTAATGATGTAGAGATGGTTGACCGTTGATATAATATGAGAAGGAGTTAGTCGAGGGTGCGGTCAAATAAATAAAAAAATTAAAATGTATAAATTATTTTAATTTTTGCCGACGTTTCGACCCACTTTGCAGGTCGTCTTCAGGGCTACAAAAGATACAAACATGTTGAAAAAATAAAATAAAATGAAAAATAAATATAAGTATATATAAAATACGAAGAAGTTGTCAGATACAGAAATAAAAGATAAAGAAAATAAATACATGATAAGAAAATAGATAAAAGAAAATAAATACATGAATGTTAACGAATAAATGAATGTTAACGAATAAATAGATTGAAAATTGAATAACTATTGTTACAGTAAAGTTAAAATATGGATAAGATAACCTAATAATAAGATATCAGTGGATAACAAGCAAGTGGAGGTTACCTTTAATTGTAAATAAACAACCCGCCCCTCATCCTCCATCCCTTTCTCTAGTTCTCAAAATCAGCCCCCCATTCCTTTATATAGATCTCTACCATACATCCCTTTACTTTTGGATAGAATTCAAAAATCTTTACGTTCCTCTATTCCCAACCTGCAAGTTGCTTTTAAAAACTATAACAAACTTGCCAATATTTACTCCAACCTAAAAGACCCCATCCCTCCGCAACACCGCTCTAATGTCGTATACCGCATTCCTTGCTCTACCACCAATTGTAACTCTGCCTATATTGGAGAAACCAAAAACCAACTTAAAGACCGCATCAAACAACACAAATACTCAATTACTTCTAAGAACTCTACTGCTTCTAAACTCTCTGAACACGCCTTATCCTCAAACCACACATTTGACTTTGACAATACCTCCATTCTTGCCACAGTACCTAACCACGACAAAAGACTACTTACGGAAAGTGTTTTCATTCAATTAGACTACAAACCACTTAACTTAAAAACCGACAAGCAAAATCTATCACTCGCCTACTCCCAAATCATCAACATTTTAAAAAAGTCTCGATCATAAACCTCTATCTAATCTTTTCACTTCCATTTATACTTTCTTTTACTTCTTTTCCTTCCATATATATTTTTTTGTTTTATTGATTTATTTTTTTTATTTATTTTTTTTTATTTATTTTTTTTATTTATTTTATTTATTTATTTTTTTATGGATATGTGTTGTGTACATATATGTATATATACATATATGTATGTGTATGTGTTTAGGTGTGTGTATATATATATATATATATATATGTGTATGCTTGTGTGTATATATATATATATGTGTGTGTTTGTATGTGTATATATGTGTATGTATGTATGCGTTTATTTTTACTAAAACTTTTTTTTTTTTTTTGACACTGCTAACTAGAGTTTTTTGACACTGCCAGTGTTTCAACTGCCTCCCGCAGTGCCACATCCTATGGTATGTTTTGACTTTTATTGTGATTCTTTTCTTAACACACCTATCCTTCAACTATATACCTTATTATTATCTTCATGCAGCCTACCATTCCATTACCGCTTTCAAAAAACTAAATGTCAATTGTCATCTATATATAGTACAACCTGTTTTTTGTTTCTTTATCATCATAACCTTGTTTTTTACATTTATTCTTACATTTTAAAGTCTTCTTTTAAAATTATTGTTTTCTTATAGAGTTATTTATACTTAATAATCTATCCCAACAATATTACACTAATGTTACCCTATTAATCTTTCAATTTCTTCACTTCTTAACCTTTAGTCCCGTTATCTGTTTATTTACAATTAAAGGTAACCTTCACTTGCTTGTTATCCACTGATATCTTATTATTATGTTATCTTATCCATATTTTAACTTTACTGTAACAATAGTTATTCAATTTTCAATCTATTTATTCGTTAACATTCATTTATTCGTTAACATTCATGTATTTATTTTCTTTTATCTATTTTCTTATCATGTATTTATTTTCTTTATCTTTTATTTCTGTATCTGACAACTTCTTCATATTTTATATATACTTATATTTATTTTTTATTTTATTTTGATTTTTTCAAAATGTTTGTATCTTTTGTAGCCCTGAAGACGACCTGCAAAGTGGGTCGAAACGTCGGCAAAAATTAAAATAATTTATATATTTTAATTTTTTTATTTATTTGACCGCACCCTTGACTAACTCCTTCTCATATTTTTAAATTTTTATGACAGAACCTGTACAGAGGTGACTATGAGCCTGAGTTTGAACATAAGGCATATTAGTTTACAGTAGAGATCATTCTAATTGGGTACTTATATGAATTTTCAATTTTTGTTCATGGGTGAAGATTTCTTTCATCCTATCATCTCATTAAAGTATTTAGTTTAAAATGTGTTTTATTGTCTTTTTCAAATAAATAAAATAAGCTGGGACTAAAAGTATATGTTCCTGTGTTCCCACCACTACACTGAGTTAATGTGGCTCTTCCGCTCCTTCCGAAGACAATATTTCTTAGACACGTTCTATTATCAGATTATCAACAGCCTTCCTCTTTTCTATGCCTACAAACCTTTGCACTCCTTTTCACAAATCTGCCTCTTTCCAAACTCCTTTATTGCCCGCTCTGCTACTTTCTGGAATTCCCTCCCTTTAAAAATCGGGCAATCTCCTCCTCATCTGTATTTAAAATTCTCCTATTCCAATTCATATTCACAAAACAGTCAGATAAAATGATTGTTTTGTTTTTTTACTCCATATTTGATGTATATACCTACATGTTATACATCACTAACATGTTCTTTTTTTTTTGTCTCTTGAATGTACAGTTATTTAAAAATTGATTTAAATTACAGATGTATTTTTCTTTATTTATTGGGGACTAGGTACTCTATTACTTACTCTAATTTTGTTTTCTTTTTTATCTTTTTTTATTCTCTTTTAAGATGCAAATATTTTGTAACATTTTTCACTTTTTTTGCATATAGATTAGGCTGAATGCATCAGCTACAGATAGGGGTCCAGTAATGGACAGGTTGGACTTTAAATCTAAATAATAAGCTTCCTTGTTGATTTAAAGGTTCCAGTTTTTTTCTGGATTGAAGATTACTAGATTACTGAACTGGATTACTAGAACAATTGAATTTCGGGATGTCTATGGAGATGTTTAAAATGGAGATCATAATTGTATAACTGAATATTTTTTAAATTTTAAAGTGTTAAATAGAAAAAGGAGACCCTAGAAGTTCTAAATGTCCAACGGAGAAGTTTATAACTATAATAAATACGGCGGCATAAGCAAAAATAGACAAAATTTTCCTTAGCTATGTCCATCACTGGTTACCCTAAAGTATCTTGTACATAGTTTCTTTGTTTTGTCAGGAGGAACAGAACTTAATTTCATTTCCTTACATTACATTAAATTCAAACACATAAATTTTTATCAA